GTTTCAGGATTTTGCTTCAGCACTTTCCTTAAGTAAAACACGAACAACAGACAATGGTTGCAAATCTACTATGATGTCTTGTTTGCTATCTGCTGTTCATGTATCTAATTTGTCTGTGGAGGATATCTTCACTAACTCAGGCTGTCTCTTCTGTGTTTGCAGGCTTCATAGCATTTTATACATACCCTGAGCTGGCGAAACGGGTGAAAGTGTTCTTTGCTCTGGGCCCAGTAACTGCATGCCCACATGCTACAAGCCCTCTGGTTAAGATAACAAATCTTCCTGAACCACTGCTCAGGGTATGTCATTTTTTCCTTCTAAGAGGTCCAATGCCTGATTAATCTTCAGAGGGTTCCCTCAGCCTGAGGTCGAGTGTTCCCAAACAAGTGACAGGCTGACACTGAGCTTGGGATGAATTGAGTGCTCTCGAAAAAAATTGTGCCCAAACCCTGTGGTGAAAATAGTAAGGATGTAGATCTTGTAGCAGCAGCTCCCAATGAAGTAGGAGACTTGTGAAACTCTGTCCTGTTTTAGGATTCCTGCAGTTTAACTAAAATTTTGCTTGCCTCATGCAGGATGAGTTAAACCAGAACTGCAATAACAGATATGACAATCTGTAGGATTTTAAAAATGAGTGGGCATTAGTGTCAGCACACTAGAAATTAGAAGGATAGCTTGCTTGAGGATTGCTGATAGTAATATGAAGGAGGAAGAATAAATGATGTGCTGTGGGGAAGAAGGTGTTTTAAGGGGTACTGTGAGGGTAAGCTGTTCCAGCACTCATTGAATACTGCATTATGAAGGCTAGGCAACAATTATTAGCAACAATTTTCTGCATAAAATTCTTCTGTAACAAGAAAAACAGGTGTTGCACTTTTCCTTTCCCTCAGTTAGTACTTGGCTGCAAAGGAGCTGCCCACCAGATCGAGTTTCTGAAAGGACCTGTGACACAGTTCTGTACAAGCCTGGATAAGTTTTGTGCCCATGTGCTCTGTTACATAGCTGGAGGCAGTGTGAAAAATATCAACGCAGTAAGTATATGCAAGAACACCTACTCAGAGCAAAACTGAAGGGATTTTAGCAGCTGCACTTGTGCACTATACCCTTGTCTAGTTACTGTCATGCAGGGAAATGTCCATAACCCGCAATGTAGCTCTCAGCAGACCGAGGGAACGCCAGGACGTGGTGCACTGTCAGCAGTGGCAACATGGCTTGGCCTAGTGATGGGTGGGACCAAGAGCTAGGCATATTCCAGTGGCAGAGAGAAAGAACTGAGTTCAAAGTGGAGCTATATTGCACGTGTCAGGATGTGCCCCCTTTTGGCACTAAGCTAACCAGATTTTTGACACACACAATTGTTCTTTGAAAAGAGACAACGAGTGATGGAGTCAGACTTCTTGCCAATGCAGTTGACGGTTTCGTTCCCTAGCATATAGACCCTGGGGTCCTCTCAACACTGAAATAGCTAAAACACAGGAGAAAAACCTCTTCTTCTTCCCAGTTTTCAGACTATTTGCACCAGCGACTTGGTCCCAAAGAACTACTGTAAGGGGCATTTTCCTGGTTTTGGTGACCTTAGAACTGGGCCCAACAGCTCAGTCCACAAGGTGTAGAGCTACAGAAAGCCCTTCCACTGTGCTGAGGACTGCAGCACACCTACAGTGGGATTCACAAACACTTGTGCATCAGTCAGAGGGGACAGGAGCCAATTGGAAAGCCCTCTGCTTGCCAATATATGGATGCTGTGGTGCCAATCCCCTTTACAGAAGGCAAAGTATGCAGAAGCTGGCCTGTATAATGCTTATTACTGCAGTGGCTGTAACAACTGGGCCCATTTTTTTCATCTATAATCCTTTTTCAAAGCACATATGGGAAGGCAGTTAGACTCAAGGTTCAATGCAAAATCAATTGCAGTTTTTGAATCGCAGAGCTAAACCATGAAGGATATTTCCTGTCTTGCTTAAGTCACTAACATGGTCCTCAGAGCAAGATAACATAGCTGAAGAAGAATCCAGGGAGATGGAATTGGGACATCTCCCTAACAGAACTATAAAAAATGTTTTGTAAGCTGACTTTATTAGAAACTCACTTTCTTAACAGTTTTATTCTGTCACAGCACTGGATCTGTGTCTTTATAAAATTTCTGCTTTCTCTCCAGAGTCGAGTAGATATGTACGTAGGACATTCCCCAGCTGGAACATCGGTACACAACATTTTTCATTGGCGACAGGTATAATTGTACACTGACATGTAAACCATCTCTTACTACTGCTTTTTGTGCAACTGACAGCCTACAGGGAAATCCAGAGGCTCAGGATTTGGGAAACTGACCATCATACCCTCTCACCTACTGCCATGAGCACCTGCACATTTAATATGGTCTAGAATACAAATGTGCTCCTGAAGACAAAGATTCCCAACAGTCAGTCCCACAGGATACGAGTAGCCAGGAAAGGGACACAAGCCATGAACAGCTAGAGACTTTATGGTTTATTTTGCCAACCTCTAACGAAATCAAGTGGATGCAAAGCAAACACAGATACAGGAAGATAGAAGAGCAAAGACAATGCACCAGGCAGATTTTTAGCGCATACCCAGCTACTTAAATCCTGGAAGCAAAGGTTTTCTAAACTGATGGACACTGGCTTTCTCTCACCCTTTGTTACACACCACTCACAAGTGAAATTACTTGTCATGTTTGTGCAAAAAATTAAATTACCAAAACAAACAAATAACTTCAGGTATTCACTCACCAGTCCTGCAAGGCATATTATACAAGACTTGAAATAGCCCTGACATGTTATAGACATTCAGGTTCTCTTTCCGTGTGACAACTGGACCCAACTCTGCATGACAAACAGTGACCCCAACTTTAGTTATCTAAGGTAGTAAAACAAAATTTTAAGTAACAAAACATACTGAGGGTGGAAGATAAAGATCTGGACAGAAAGTTAGCAAGAAAAAAGCAAGGATGCCACTTACCCTGTGATCTATCCTCAGCACCCTGGAAGCCTGCAACCAGAGGAAGGTGTGGGAATAACACAGTCCACTACCTGCACCTTGACTTAACTCACAGGCAGGAGGAATATGCTTCCTGCACTCCTTCATCTCTCAGACCTTTTATTTTGTCTGTTCTTTTAACAGCTAGCACATACAGACCGGTTTCAAGCTTATGACTATGGCTCTAAGGAAAACATGAAGAAATACAACCAGGTAAGGCAAAATGGACTCCCTCAGAACTGACCCTTGAGTCTTGGTAAAACTAGTAATAGAAAAATTCAGATTTTAGCACCTGTGAGTATTAACAAGGGGGAGAGTGGTCTCAGATAATGTTTCAGCTGAATCACACACAAATGTAAAAGTCTATTCACAAACAAGGCAGAGATAGACCCTTACAGACAATTAACAGAAGTTCATTTTGTCTCCCCTACTGCTGCTGGGGTGGGCTCAATGACATGTCAACTTACATGTCATTCCAAAAATGAGTACAGAGCTCTTCACTTGCTCAAAAGCCCTCAAAGCCTGCCTTTCATTTAAGAGAGGAAACAGATCTCACAGTGGACTGGCAACCACTTCACTTTTAACCAGCACATTTGACTTGCAGTGTCCTGTGCTGTACCAAACTGCTGTTTTTCACAAACAGAAAGGCTGCAGAGCTACAGTCACTTCTATCTCACACACTCAGAAATTTTCTAGGGTGAAATCATAAATGACCAAATTATTTCCTTTCCACTTCAGTTCCAAGCATGAAAACTAAGACTAAAAGTTGCCCTCTCTGCACCCCAAAAAAACTTATAGATCGCCTCACCCTGAAAACACACAGGAAAAATCTCCACAGCCCCTGACTGATGAATACTGACACTGTTCTTTCCATGCCCACACCTCTGAAGAGCACAAGCCAGGACCAAACTGCAGGACAACCCTTAGCCGTGCTTTATAGGAAGGGGGAATAGAAGGGGGTCATTCCATAGACAGGGAATGGGGTGAGGGCAATGAGCAATAAGAGGGTGGCCTTCATCCTTATGGTTTTACTGTAGGCAGTGCAGAAACAAAAGACAAAGAGAGGTGCTTGCACAGAAACCTTGCTCTAAACACAGCTCTGATGCAGCAGCATTCACTCAGGTCTCCTCCCTGTCTTACAGACTGCTCCTCCTGAGTACAAGATAGAGGAGATAAAGACACCAACTGCTGTGTGGAGTGGTGGACAGGACACTTTTGCAGATCCAAGAGACATGGCAAGGCTACTTCCTCGGATTACTAATCTCATTTACCACGAGAATTTTCCTGCGTGGGGACATCTTGATTTCATCTGGGGCCTTGATGCAACTGAGAAAATGTATGTGAAAATCATTGAATTATTAAGAAAATATTTTTGAAACCATGAGCAGAGTTTTGATTGTAAAAACCTCCAAAATTTCTATTTGGCATTAAGGGTGGTATCTGGGGAAGAGGTAAACACACAGGCACACATAATGGATACTTCTATAGGGATTTATTTGTTCCTATTTATTTCTTGCTTTTCTCATGACTTGAGTTTTTCCATGGTGTTACTGTGACTGCTGTCTTCCTGTGAAGTGTGAGGTATATAAGAATGAAAGCTGAAAACATGAATATATTTGAGTTCATACTGGAGGGATCACTGAATTTCAAAAGTTTTTATTTCTACAGTACTAATTTTCCTAAGGCTAAACTCTGTTGTTTTCAGATAGATCTTATTTACCCAACTGAGGCATTCTCATTCCCAATTTTTGTCTTCCTATGGAGACCCAAAAGTGTGATTTGATTCTCTGTTAAATGAACAATTTTGTTTAAATTAAATTATTGATCCTCTTGACAGAGAACCTGTCTTTTGTGTTTTCCCTCCTGAAATCACCCCTTAATGTCAACACAACCAAGAGATCTTCAAGCACAAGAAGCTGAGCAAATAATAAATGACTAAAAAATATCAAGAAATCCAACCTCAAAAAAATTTATTGAAGTGTTTCTCTGCCCCCATGCCTACAAATCACACAAATGTTTGTTCACACACCCTGAGCCCCTCACATTTTCAAAGACCACAGATGGCAGCTGTGGAATAAGGAGACATAGACCCATCCAGCAAGGTGCATTCCAAGCTATATAGCTTCCACCCTATGAATTATTCTTCACGCTGGCAATGAAGCTGTTGCCAGCACTCTCAGCTGTCAGCATTCACTTTTACACAGCTCTGTGTCTGGGCTATTCTTCATTCAAGCAGTTCCTAAAACACTGCAAGCAGTTGGATGTTTTCCCTTTACAGCATCAGCCCTAAGAGATGGTGTCTTCATAATCCATGCAAGTGCCTCCCCTCTTCTCACCTACCAGCTGGTCTGGAGTGCCTGTCCCCAGACTGCACACAAAATGTTCATTATTACAGGCTCCAGCAAGGAGCTTTATTTCATGGAGTGTTTCTGGCTGCAGCCTCAAGCTCATCTTGTCCAGCCAAGACCCTTTGTTGTTGGAGTTGACATCCAATGCAATGGTTACACTGTAAAATACATCTGTCTTTGCAACTCAGGAAAAGTACACTAGCTTGTCACACACCTACTGTGGCACCCATTAGCAATGCTGTACTGCACTTCTGACAGCTTACAGGAAAAGGCCAAAATTGTCAACAAAAATAAAGATCTGTTAGACCAAGGAGGCACAACACAGCAGTGTATGAAAGGAGTTTCCCCTTTATTGCTGCATTATTAAATCACAAAGCACTGGACCACTTTAATACATTACTTATTACTGCAGGTTTTCTTCTGCCTTCACTTATGCAAGAGAAGACTCATGGATATATTATTATTATGATTGGTATTATCCCCTGCTGCATGCACCACTCTGTACAGCAGGCTATCCTGCCTAGTCCCATGGCAATGATACATCTGGTTTCCATCAACAGCATTTCATTTATTGACTCTTTTTTTTCTTTAGTACACTGTTTATATTGGAAAGGTAGTTAAGAGACCGGTTTCTCTACTGAGCCAAACATATTTTCCTTACTATCTCTTAATGCATTAAAGTGATCTGGGAATTTACTTTCTTTCTTAATCCAGCAAGGCATTGAATCTCTTTTTGCTGTTTCTTAGATGAAACCCAAGTCCTACCCTTGTAGAAACACAGTGAGAATTAAGGTGTTTGAAAATTGTAGGATGGATGGAAGGAGGAAGGGCTCAACTGAGATATCTGTTTTCCCAGCCCCTCCCATTGTAGGAAGATAAATACTAAGAGAAGGGTACCAGACCTTTTAAAACTGCTGTAGCACATTGTTTAGTTCCCCTATGGAACAAGTAGCACACACTCTAAAGGATATTTTATTTTTGCATTGGCTGCCAACCGTCATATGCAATGTTTAGGCTTCCAGATATTTTATAGCCACCTTTCAAAATCCACAGTCTGCAGAAGTCAAGTAATAAAACTGATGAAGCAGATGGAAAGGGCAATATTTTGAACACTATTGTAGTAATTTATGGCTTAGTAAAATAAAATGAACTTCATGGCCTTGGAGTACTGATAAATCTCACACAAAATTGTCCAAGTCTGCAGCAAGGAATGGGTGGATGTGAGTCTTTGGATGGAATGGGTGGACTGAGTCTTTATCAAGTATCAGCCCGCATCCTCTGCAGCACTTCTGCTGTTGTGAAAGGTGGATTGCCAGATGAGGTAATTTTCTGCATGTTTGAGAGTTCTTGATGGCTAAGAATCTTTTCTTATCATGCTTTCAATGTTGTGGAACTGTAATCTTCTTGCTATATCTAAGGGAGTCTCCCCATCCTGAAAGAAACACATGAAATACATTACAATATGACAGATAAGGGTCATGTACAAAGAGATTTCCTAACTTTGCCACCTGTGTAAGGTCCCCTGTCACTTCTGCTCTAAAACAAAGGTTTCAGGACATGGTGGGCCTAATACTGCTCTGGCTGAAGAAAGGAACAGAGACCTCCCCTGCAGTAGGGAAAGCCTTTCCACGGTTTCCTGGGAGTAATATCCAAATATACGGACCTCAGCTAAGATTTGATTTCAAGAGAAACATAGGTAATACACTGCTCACCTCAACTCAGCAGTGCAGATACTCCCAGGTCAGTATTGATTTGGGCAACACTTGAGCTGTTCTGGTGACAGAAGCAGCTTGACTTAGCCTCTCAGAAGGGTGCTCAACAGCACAAAAATCACCTAGGAAGGCTTTTATTCCTTCCCTGCAGCCTGCATCTTAGGAATAACTATAGAGTAGCTCTGAGCTAAGAAGAAAACAGGAAACAAACTGGCTGCCAGGAAGCTGTGCTCCCGTTTCTTTACATTGCTGTGCACCAGCTAAGGCCTACAATGTACTTACTGGCTGACCACCATGATAAGCAAATACATTCATCAACTTCACCTTCTTACCCGATTCTTTACAGAAGTGTCTGCATGGGCTTCAAGAAGTAGAGGAATGACTGCCTGGTTTTTCATTTCACAAGCATAGTGAAGGGCTGTGCTGCCAGACTGAAGGGAAATGGAAGAAAAATAATTTTATTTCTATGCCTTTAGTAGAGCTTAGGTAAGTAGGACTACCTGTAGCCTATCAGATTCACCCTAACAGTCGGTTGCAAAAGACACAAACCATTTCCTGTCACAATACACTACAAGGTGAAACAAACACGTCACCTTGAGAAAAACAGGATCAAAAAAAATTAATTCCTTCCCTGGGATGCAACTGCTAAAACAGGTTTGATACATTAGCAGGAAATCAGTAATTTCAGAGGATCACATGAGCTTGACCTCAGAAACTACATCTTAAACAGTACTGTTTGCTTGCACTTCAGTGTTTTAGAATTTCATTACTGATAAAATTGGTGTTTCTCCTTTTCTACCTTAGAGAAGAGGAGCTCTTTACCTCACCCAAGTAGGCTAATGGATCCATAACTCTGTATATGGCAGATCAGCACGCTCTGAAGACCAAGAGAAGACACAGGGCCTTGCCCTGTAGCCCACAACTCTGTTCCAGTTCAAAATAAATGCTGATAGACTCAGATGCTTATATCACTAGAATCTTTACAGAATTGGGTATTTAATACATAAGTACCTGAGCCCAGCTTGCCTGGATTCTCTTATGAGGGCACTGTTCAGAAAGGGAGGATCAGTGGGGAATTATTTCTGTATGCACTATAAATCTGTTGCCTGAGTGTCATGCAGAAAACCTGAATCCTCCTGGTACATTAGTCAGTTCAGTCCCTGATACTCCTACTACAACTATGCTGCTAGAAGGTTCTGTAGTCTGTTTTTAGTATTATTTCCTGCATGTGAGCCACATTTGCATTTGTATAAACCCACTTACAGAGTCAGTAGCATTCACATCGACTCCAGCTCTAAGCAACATCTTGACCAGATGTTCATTCTGTTTTGTCTTTGAGACCTGTTTGGTGCAAGGGAAGGAGTAACACAGTTAATCTGCATATAGTCTTAAGTATATTTGTACTAAATACCGTGGGGTTTTTTTCCAGAAAGAGGCATGGTCTCTGGAAATGTCGGACTGATGCAGTAATACAAATCTGTTCCTTCACCAGTTACAGCCACAGCAAAATCCCTGCTCCTTCTGCTGTACACATTCAGTCTTGCTTTAAGAAAGCAGTCCATATTCTGTAGGTTCCTAGCCTGAAACACTGCCATGAAAAATGGCAAGGGAAAGATGCAGGGTGATTCTTGCTTCCATCCAGACTCACCATGAGAAGGTATCCAATAAGCATAACTGGCATGAGGATTATGATGAGCACATAGTCAAGGAAGGTGAACCGTTTCCTCACAGCATAATGGAGGCAAGTGCAGTCCTTCTAAACACAAAGCAACTCTGATCAGTACAGATTCAGACCATTTTTAATTACACAAGCTTTCTTTTAGACTCTCTAATAGGAAATCTCCTGTGATTTTCAAGCAGAAATAGACACATGCATCTTGCTTCATTCAAGTAGAAGCCATTTAACACATAGAGGGTCCTGGAAATTGGACTACACATGCAAGAAGGAGGTGGGATCCAAAGGATTCCATGTGTATGTTGGCAAACATGGACCTGGCTGCAGAAATTCAAAGGAGAGAGTGGGTATCTCATGTGGCTGTTGCTGCCACACAGCAAGGTAAATCAGCAGGAGGAATCACCACAGCCCCCCTTCTTACAGAGGTGCTGGCTGCTGAAGCAAGGACAAATGAGACCTTAGATCATCTCTTTTGGGAAATCAGAAAAACACAGTAAAGTAGTAAAAAACTCCACAGACTCTTATTGAGAATAGAGTTTTTAAAAGTCTTTAAATACTGAATATACCAAAGCAACTAAAGGCAGGTGGCAAAGTTTTGTGCTACAGTGTTAAGCTTGTTACAGGTTGTCAAGATGGAGCTGGACACAGGACCCCAAAATAAGCAGAGAAGCCCTTTTTTTCCACCTGTTTCTCCACATATCCTCAGTAGGAAACAAACTTGAGGTTTGTCTGTGCTTCCCAGTGTCCCCACTGGACTCCAAGAATCGGAAAGAATAGTCCCCCAAAGGAAGAGTCAGTGGCCACTTACCTTATTTCTGAGGTTGACATCAGCATGTTTCCTAAGAAGATAGTTAACTATCCTGTTGTTTCCTTGTCTACATGCACAAATTAAGGGGGTGTCTCCAAGGAAGCTGTCCTGGACATTCAAATAGTTGCTGTTGCTCTCCAAAAGGAAATGAACTTTGTTGAAATCGTTGTTATAAGCTGCCTGGCAGATGGGCTGAAGTGAGAAGATAATACTCATCAGCACGTGTTTCACTAAGACATCCACACTTCCCATTCTGGCTTACTACTCACACACCCCAAAACCCTCGACAGAGGCTGTAGTTCTCGGTGCCTTCCAGAAGATGGTGGTAGGAGACGCTCCTGCAGCCGCTACACAGCTCTCAGCCCCAAAGTCACAGCCTTTGCACAGTGGAATGGATTTTCTGTTCATTTTGGAGATTTTCTGTTCATTTTGGATGCTATTTCTAGAATCCAGGACATAAGTCCTGTTTATTTGCAGCCATTAAAAAACAACCAAAAAAAAAAAAAAAAAAAAAAAAAAAAAAAAAAAAAAAAAAAAAAACCAAAAAAAAAAAACAAACAAACAAAACAAAACAAAAAAAAAACCAAAAAAAAAGAAAAAACCCAAACCCAGCTTCCATTCTCCCAGGAGTTGGTCACTGTATTAAGCAGATTTTACCTCAGGCTTTACCTTTGGCTGAGCAGAATGAACAATTCCTGACTCATCTGTTCCCAGAAGAGAACCACACTTCAGGTGAAAGCTGAAAAACCAAGCCCCCACCAATGTTTCGTTTCTAGACCTTGAAGTATGCAAAAAAATACATGCCAGTGTGCCCACAGGTTAGATCATGCTTGGCTTTTGAGACCTGCTTGCTGGTCAGCTTTTTGCTCAGTATTTCTACGCATCCTTGACCTAAACTGCAATTCCTTCCCTCTCCCGTAGCAAGAATTCAGACTAAGGAGAAGCTGAGAAGGGCAGGAGTACTCCAGGTTTCAAACAGCCTAATAAATGCAGAAACTAACATTTGGGGGGGGGGGCAGACTGATAACATTTGAATTCTCCAGTCAAAAACAGAATTAGTCTTTATTTTCTTTGGTACTGAGGATTTTGCCCAACATTTTCCAAAATAGAAATTGTCTTTAAATATTAGCTGTAGTTTTTCCTCTTCACTTTCCTTTTTTTCACATCCTAAATACTCTATATGAAAAACATCTAGTCCTGAACTCTGAGTTCTTTCCTCACTCCTCCAGATTGTTCCTTTCCCTCTGTCCTCCCCTCTACTCCTACACCTTCCTGCCTTAAAATATTCATCTTATTTACACTTTTTCAGCCAAACTTTGATCTACAACACAGGTTTATCTCCAGCATAATTACTGCTTAGTTTTCTGGACAGCTGAGTAAGAGAAGTGATTTGTTTCCAAAGAAAGTATTTACATGCTTACCAGACCTTGCACCACTTCTTCTTTTGTTTTTATTATATCAGACAAAAATCTACAAAGAACACATTCCATATTTTAAACTTGCACATCTGTCTGTATTTGTATAGAAGCATACATATAAAATTTGGTATTTTAATTTCACCAGAACCAGAACTGTTTTAATGATTTTGAGGAGAAAAGTCTCTTTCAAGCCCCTTTTGGTGAGATCTGCAAACAGGTGCCATCTAAAAGATCAGTTTTTCTCTAGAACCTTGCTCTCTGTCATGTTGGTGTCTAGTACTGTATCTTCATGTCCAGGAGAGAGAAGATCCTGTGGAGTCTGCACCTCTGATTTCCCTACTACTCTTTTTCTTAGATATTGCTTTTCTTATTTAAAGATGCAGGAGATTTGCTCTTTGGTTGAACATCTGTTCAAATCCCAGTCAGTTACCATATAAATTTCCTCCTTTCTAAGCTGGTTTTGCTCGTTCAGCAGCTCAAGGATATGTTTTATTTGCTTTTCTTTCCGTACTGCCTCCAAGAATTTTACTTGCTAGGTGGTTAAACCCAAGGCATTTCTGACTGATGCTCTCATTGATCCGTGGGATCTTTTTCTAAACCTTACACTACTGCTGAACTCAGTTCTAGAGCCATGAACAATGATGGCACACAGACCACTCCCTGAGACCACATTATGTGGGGCTGAAGTCATGCACAGAGCCCAGCACACACAAGTCACAGGTGCTCTTTCACCTGCTGAAACCAGCTGTCCTCAGAAAACACCCAGGGCCAGAGAATGTAAGGAAGCAGTTCTCATCCATTCCAGCAACTAACACCTGGGAAACTGATGTATTTAAAGTATGATGTAAACTAAAGATACATTTTGAATCATTATTATTCCCCTTGGAGTGGGGGTACTTTGTAGAAATTATACTGTCTGCATTAACATGTTCCATTCACATTTAAAGAAAAAAAAACAACAAAGAAACACAAGCTTTTTTCCAATTTGTATGGGATTTTTTTTTTTTGAGGCCCACTCTGCTGGTTTGTATTTTTGAAAATACCTTTTAGTCAAAGAAAGGTGAAAAGTCTCACAGACCAAACTTGTAATACATCTCTCAAATTGGCTTTTCTATGGCTGGAAAAGCAAACATCATAGCAGAATATTTAAGTAAAGGAACAAAGCACGGCCAACAACTATAAGTTCATGATATTGATACCAATAACAATAAGGATTCAGAAAAAAATGTGTTAGGAAAGTATAAAGATAAGAAAAAATACAAATAGGTGACAGTCAGCCACTTGTCCCAAAAAGGTAGATACTATATTAGATAGTGTCTCTCACAGAAAGAGATGTTACAGAAGACACTTTACTGGGATAGTGTGTAGAGTTCTTGTCATTTGGGTCCTAAAATGAGATCAGACCACGGCAGGAGCATGAAACCTCTCTAGAACTGAGGAATATGAAGAGCCTGAAGAAAGGTTGATTTGCTTAGGGAGAGACAGCACTGTCCCTGTCCAAAATAAATTAAAGGGTCAGTATTAAAGAAAACCAATTAATTAAGAAAACTAATTAATTTTTCAAGGAACATGGTAAAAAACATGATCCATCTGACCAAGAAATTTAGCACAAAAATTAGAAAGAGATTTGTATTCATAAGCAGAGTAAAGTAACAAAACAAGCTTCCAGTAGCAAGAGGTTGGACACAAAACCTGCCTGGCCCCAGGATGGGGCTTGAGCATGTGCCAGGATTTCTATGGTTGTGAAGCTTCAGCCACAAAACTCTCTTCCACTTCTCACTTTTTTTGGGTTGTCACCCTGGCAACCCTATCCAAAGGGTTAACTGTGCTTAAGACTGTTTTAAACTATTTCCCAAAGTCTTCTCATAAGAGAGAATAATAGAATTCCTTACAAAGAGATAGACAGCACCTATCTGGAGTATCAGCAGGGAGGCCAAGTATGGAGTTAGATCAGTGTTAGGTACAATTAGTAGGTTCCATCCAAAACCCAAGAAAATGTATTTCCTTTAAGTCTCTAGAAAAGCCTGGAGGATAAGAGACTGGAAAGTCTCCCTTTGTTTTCTACAGTGTTAGAAGATTGCCTCAGTAGTGATACAGCCAGTTTCATATTTGTGTTATGGTTATTGCTGTTGCTATGTTGTTCTTATCCACTCATCATACACAACAGAGAAATAAACCCATGGGATAGTTCTCAGAATACCTGAGCTTCACATGCCAGGGGCAAGCCATACCCAAAGAATCCAAAGTTCACACCTTGTGCTCATGCTCAGCTGTGGCAAGGAGCAGGACAGTGAGAGCAGAAGCCTGATGGCAGTGGAGGACAGCCAGGAGAGCTCCTGCAGCTTCCCTTGCTCCCAGAGGTGCACTGGCAACTGGAGCAGAAGTGTCTGTGGAGTCTCCTTTAGGGATGTGTGAGAAGTGCTCCCACAACAACAAATTCTGAAGAAAGCACCAGTGGGAACTGAGTTCTCACCTCCTGGGGACGTTTGCAGTCCAAGTCACAGTGTGGCTTCTCTTGCCCACACCACATCATTTCTAAATCCGTGTCCTGACTGCCCCAGGGAACTCACAACAGACCTGGCCCAGCCCCACAAAGCAGTAGGGCAGACCCAGCCCTGGCACAGCAAACACTGCACCCCACACAGACACGGCCTCAGGTCTGAAGGGAGGGGGAGTAGGATCCGCAATTCCAGCCTAGGCAAAGAGGGAGAGAGGGCCTCTCTGAAGGATCTGGCAGCAAAGCCCTTCAGCTCTGCTCTCATTCACACTTCTGCAGCACCACCCAGCATTCAGACAAGCTGCACGGGATGAACCTGACAGCGTGACTCTGCACAAAACGTACAATGGAAGGGAGGGAAAAATCATCACAACCCCAAACACTCCTTAAACCCTCTCCAGAGATGCCTTTTCCCAGCCACAGCATCAGGGCTAATCATGAACTAGAGCACAGCCTGCCCAGCTGAAAAAAAAGCAGTGGCCAGACACTGGCGAATGGAAAGTAGAGTTTGAAGATTAAATATCACATTCCATATTTTAAACTTGCACATCTGTCTGTATTTGTATAGAAGCAAACTTATACAATAATAATACAATAATAACGGAGTGTTTAAAATCTCTCTTTCTACAATACTTCTTATTCTGCAAGCCTTTCAGACCAGAATTTAGTTGTTCAGTATATAAGCTTTCAGGGAAGGTAAGAACTACTCACAGGACATGCAAGGGTTTTCATGGCTGAGAGCACTCAGTACAAGATCGTCAAATAAGTGGTGCAAGAAAAGCAATAACACTTTCACTATCAGAAAGGGCAATTATAGAACCAATTTTTAAATTTTTTAAAATCAATTGCAGAACATGAATGATGCTAGGTCCTGGTAGTTTACCCAGATCCAGGTGAACCACCACATCTGAACCTGTCTGGTGTTTTCAGAGTTTCTTGCATCACCTCTGCTCAGCTTTGATGAGCTAGTGATAAGCCTCCAGCTACTTAGCAAGTTCTACCACACAAGTAAAGGTTAATGGCACAGTATGAAGGACAAAGCATTGAACCAATAGAGAGGAGGAGAAGGTAAAGCCTGTCTTGCAACTTGGAGAGCAATTTCAGTTGCAATTGCTTCCTCCTTACAACTCCAGGGGATTGCCTAAATTACATCAACTCTTTGCAATTGCTTAGAAAAAAAGAAAAACATTTTGTAATTATTCTGAACAAATCCATAGCCTCTTCCTTTGCACTAAAATTATACAAAAAGCATGCTATGAACTTAACAGAAAAGTCTAAATTATGTTTAGGATGCCAAGGAATACACTAATATCCAAGTAAGTTGTGCTTCTCAGAAAAGACAACTTACAATTCTTTATTTTCAGTGCCCTAGCTTTCTATCCTGTATAAATGAACCATAATTTATGCTGAAAACTGTATCTCAAAATGTTTAAAGAGAGAAAATGAATTTATATGAAAATATTAACTAATAACCATGAAAAACATGGACAGCATTTAAACATTCTTTAAAAACCTTTGTAATTAAGCTAGACAACACTGATTTCCACTGCAATACTGTCCCACAGTAGTAGATCTGGGGAGAGGCAAGAAATCCTTTCAGAATAAGCTACAGTCTGTTCAGCCAATCACCCTATGAATGCCAGATTCCAGTTCCTTGTGATTCTGAAAGAGGAGAAGATATCTGATTTCACGGAATAGCTTTTTGAAAATACAAACGTGGCTTTCAGCATAGAAATGTGACCTTCAAAAGCAACAGCTATGTAATGCTGCCTCCAGAAAAAGAAACACAGTGCAACGCACTCTTCTCACAGTCACAAAGGACCAAAATCCTCATTTGTCCCCACATGTACAAATAAGAAAATTATAACAGAATACGTTTAGGTAAAATTTACACTAAAGTACCGGAAAATGTTAAATGAACTGTGGTTTGGGGACAAACCCATAAAGATAAGGTAAAAAATAATTACCTTCTTAAAACAATATGGGGGGAGTGGGAGGTTTTCTTAGGCATTAACTTTATTATCTGTATTCAGTGTAAGCCAAGGAGTTGTCTGCCTTTTGCAAAGCTGTTTATTGCTTCCACCGTGTACAGAATCGTTCTGATCTCAACACAGAACAACAGAAAATGTTGAATACATACTTTGTGAAGCCACGATAATTATGCCAGTTATTGCATTTTCTTTGCTTCTATAAACAATAGTACTGACAGCTTGTAGTAGACAAAGGAGAACATTTCCAAAGGGAAAACCTTCCAGATCGCTATAAGCCTGTTTATGGGAGGCTGCAAAGGGGACAAACCAAGCCCAGTGAATATCCATACCTTCAACAGCATCAGCAACTGCAGAAAATGGTCACGTACCTCTGAATAGAGTATCCCCATGCCTATTCTTCACTCTGGAGTTCCTTCTTGTTCAACAGCCCAACAAGTTACCCTCACCTGAAATGTGCTTGAGCTTGTTTGAATCTGGTTAATAGTTAACATAAAAGTATAACTTTTTCTTAAGCTATGTTTCCTCTCAGTGCTTTCTACTTAGTAGCATAAAACAATTGTCTTCAGAAACCCAACCCAGGGAGGTAAACCTGAGAACTGCAGGAGACTGATGGAACAAGTTACAACACAGAAGCATTTTCCTTTGTCATTTCTGCAACAACATCCTCCAGTTACCTAAAAAGGAAAGTAGCAAAACAGGTTGAGGAGAGGAGGGAGAGAGAAGGGAAGGAAGTTTCACAAGTGAAGTAATGGAGGAGTGAAAAGAATAAAGAGCATGAAATCTAAAACTTAAAATAATGAAGAATTGTACTTAGTTTGCCACTCAAGTTACTGTTGACTAAAACACATTCCAAACCTTCTGCAAGAACACCTCAAATGCCTGTTAAGAAAAGGGAAGCAACTAAATCCCACGCCTTCAATGAAAACTCCCAGTATAATTAGCCTCTCAGTCTTTAATTAAACAGGCCGGCCTCTTTCATAATTTTTGCTCAGCCTTCTCTTTCTAGCCCAGCCCAACCAAGGAATATGACTCATGTCTAACCTGATAATTTTATATGCTAATTGGGAAGAGAATTATTGCTGATGGCCCTGAGGATAAGATGCTGATGGCATCAGTCTTTCTGAGCAAGGCATGTGTATTTCAAGTTCCTGCATTCACCTCAAAAATATCTTTTCCTTTTATAGTTTAAATCACGTTTCACGTATCTCAAGCAAATTTTAAAAAAAGTTTTAAGACATATTCATGTAAGCATGCATCTTAAATCCAAGCCCTCTGCCTTACATCTGAGAACTTTTATCTCCAAATAATTTTAGTATTTATTCTCAGCGAGGTGGAGTACCATATAAAATTCCTTATTCTATCTCCAGCCTTGTCTAATTAAAGTAGTACAACACTGCTGGCGGTAGTGTTCTTTTGCTGGCACCACTTCCAGCCCTTTCAGTGGCTGTTTCAGAAGAAAGTTAGGCTGGTAGGTAACAGACGTAACACCTACCTGTGACAGGCTCTCTGGGATCCTCACAACACACTGGTCTTCAAGCATGGGGTGAATATGACGTTGGACTGAGGACATGGAAGAGTAAGTAACACCTCAAAGGTGAAAACGTCTTCCTCACCAGCATTTCATTAAGATCTTCACATCAAGATCCTAAGATATCCACCGCATCCTCCTGCACCTATTGACCAGCTTGTTGGAATTTATAAACTACAACCAGTTGAAAGAAATATTGAATCACCAAGATGCTACATAAAACAACTTAGTAGTTTAATTCATCTCTTCCTAACAAAAATAAATAAATGCATGGTAATCGGAAAAAGTATTTAAAAAACAAACTAACAAAAAAAAAAGAAAAAAAAAGAAAAAAAAATCCATCCTCTCCAAAGCATCACATCCCAGGTCCTCTTGAAAAGCACTGAAGTGACTACTTTGGTCAGAGCTTCAACTGAAGAACAGCCAAGCAGCCCGGCCATGATGAGATATGAAAATCATGCAAATGCATATAGTCACAAGTTCACTTCTGACTAACCAATTGCTTCAGTGCCCTTTGCCATGTTTGTAAATGAAGATTAGAATCCTGAAAAACCTTTTTTTTTTTTTTTTTTTTTTTTAATAAATAAGGGGGTTTTTTTCTCCAGAGGGTGCCAAGACAGTGCATGGGCAAACTATCCCCTACCCAGTCTGTGTAGGAAACATGATTCTTACTTCCTGACAGAATTCAACAACATTCAAAAGTTTCATGTGAGCCAGAAGGCAACTAAATATTTTTCAGAAGGGCCTTCAGCAGGGCAATTATAAAGTAAACTGATTTTTCAAACTAGCTGTCAATAGCTTAAGAACAGCTTATTCAATAAAAGTCACAGAAGATCATTTGTCTCTTTAAATTCCAAGCACTAGAATTTGTATTGCCACAAATCACATGAGCTACGTTACTCTCAGGAAGGCAACCTGTGGCTTGTTGGACTCATATGTGCAGAACTGTTCTCCCAAATGCACATTCCTGAGAAATGCAGTCCTGGAACAGGCAATGTCTGCACAAGAGGGACACTGACACCTTATACTTTCCCTCAGAAGACTGTTAACCACTTGTACAACATCCTTGCAATGTCCCTTGCACCTCTGCTGCAGGACAGCACTGACTCAACAGACCCAACAAACCCAAAGAAACCCCTCCATGGCATGGACCAGAGCCTGTATTTTGTAACACTAAACTGAGTTCATGTTGTGTACAGCTCCAGGCCTGACTTCAATTTTGACACAGCATTTTAAAAGAGAATACTTACTATCTTAGCTTCCCTGGTTCTCTATGGAAGGGCAGCCCATCCTGGGAAGTTTCTGTTTCTAGGTTTTGTGGTTTTTATTTTCTCCTTATAGGCATTACTTTCATTCTCTTTTCCCTTTTCATATGGGCTAACATATCTTTTGCTCTTCATTTGGTTCCCATCAACAACATCACGAAATATATCGTACATCCTGTATACCACCACAAGGTGATAGAGGTAAAATGTTTAAGTTATTCCCACCTGCAATTCTATAAAACAAAAATTGTAGGATGGTGTTATCTGGGAATAAAGCAGAGAAAATCTTCAACACTCTTTCTCACTAAGTGGTGGTATCAGACCTGCTGAACTGTGATGTTTTTCATTGAGAAATCACCTTTTTGGCTTTTCCACAGACTGTGCCCTACTTCATAAAGCAGAAGTGTTTCTGTGGTGACTCTCAGGTTCTGTTTACTAACAAGTACTTACTTCATTCATTTTCCCAGGCAAGGCAGCATATCATTAGCACCCACGTTTCAAAGAATTTGCAGGATCCAGAAGCCAGGCCAGTTTCAGTGAGGGTCAAGCCCCCCAGGCTGATTTCAATTAATTCAGTGGTTAGGCAGAGGTCTCTAATATATTGTGTTCACAGAGCTTATGGAGGTGGCTTGGAAATAATAAGAATTAGCGTTAGCACCCTCTCTTGACTCAAAGTTCACATAATGTTTTCAGACTTAATTCAGTTCCTGAGAATCCCTACAAAAGCAGGGTAATTCAGAGAAAACTCTTTTTTGTATGTTGTGGGGTTCACACCTTTCAAATCACTTCTGGTTTTATTCTAAGATTATCTAACACAGAAGGATTGTCCCAAACAATCAGCAATTCAGAAAACAAGCAACTGGTGTGGAACCAGGGACCAAAACAGCTTTTGTACTACCCACAGCAGCAGAGATCACATTCACAGCTAGAAAGTGTTGAGAAAAGATGGATTCTTTTCCATTTTATCCCAAAATGTTATAGTTACAGCACTTAGTAAGACACGTAGCAGTACAGATAAAGATCTGCCACAGCCACAGGGAACAAGAATAACCAAGTTCTTCCTAAGTATTCTAATGACAGGTTAGATGCCTCTTTACCTCACCAGATCCATGGTGCAATTTGGTCTTTCAGAATTCATGCAACGGTGCTGTTTATCACAGAATAACTCCACTCCTTAAATACTGGCAAACAAGCAGCACTTAAACATGCTCTCCTATGCATGCAGATCACACAGAACTCTACTGCTGCTCCTTTTATTGGCACAGGCTTCTGGCAATGAATCAGCAGGAGACTGACCAGGAGTGCAGCAGGCGGTGCAAGCGGGGGAGCCAAAGGAGAGGTAAGTTTGTTTATGTGCATCCGTGCTCTCTTTCTCCCTTGCCTGTCTCCAAGCAGATGTGCTGTCCTAGTTCTGTGCAGCTGGTTTTCAGAGCAGCCAGCCTGCCATCCTTCCTGACTGCTGTGCATCAAAGGGCAGGTTTGCCAGAGGTGGAGAGGAAAAGGACTTTGGCCCATGCAAATGGGAAAAATTAAGTAACTGAGGGTTTCATTTTCTTCTCCTTGCTTTTTTCCCCTAGGAATGTCACTGTGGATGCATAGAAATCTCAGCATTGAAAGCATGTACATAGATTAAATAAACCTTGTTCTTATAGCTGCAAAAGCATTTGATTTTTTCATGCAAGTTAACCCAGAGATTCTGACACCTGCTAGCCTGGTGTCTTTCTGTCCCAGGTATAGTGTATGTGAAAGCCATATGACTCTCTCAAGAGTACACTGATGAATTTCTAGAATGTTTAAGGTTTGTTTTCATTAATATTAAAAACCTCCAGAAATTGCATTTTTGAATGTATCTTTCAGGCATCTTCCTCTACCTTTTTTTTTCCTTTTTAAAATAATTCAGTTATTTCCAGTTTGCCATGGTAAATGTCACTCTTTGGCATTGTTTTGTTGCATAAAAATACTAGATTATTGTTCAAAGCCTCTATGACTTGGCCATTGAAATTAATGAGACAGCTGTGTGCCAAGCCTTGGAGTTGATTGGTGCATTATGTCTGATTTACAAAGCTTTCATATTCAGTACAGTACATAGAAAATGGCACACCATAAAAAAGGCAATAATTTAGCTACCGCACAGATTCATCTTTAGTACAAACTGTGACTTATGCTGGACTTTTCAGGTATTTTTTTCCAAACAATGCTCCGCATGCAGAAAAAGAGGAATGTGTTTTTTACGTTTGTTTGAACTAAATAAAATAGCAGAAAGCAGTGGAATATTTACTCTGAAACTGTGCTTCCAGAGCACACAGGTAAGAGGATTTCTGTTGTACAGAATAATTGGAGTGCTCTCCTACAAAGTGGATAGATCACAATGACTTTGAATTTCAAAATTAAAAGTATAATATTACACTGTATATATATTCTAATAATATATAATGATATATAATTTTTATATTATATCTATCAATCTATCTAGAATATTCCAATTGTGGCATAATCCAAATGTTGTAGTCACTCAAGGGACATGATAGATTTAATGAAAAATGAAGATAATTGACAACCCACTCACTCCCTCCCTCCTCAAGAAATTCAGAGGAAACAAAAAAAAATATTTTACCTGTCCTTTCTATACTCTACAAACCTTAATGATCTTCCCCATGGTGATTCAGATAAAACACTCTGGGTTTATGACCTGTTCCATCCGTGCTAACTACAAAGGTGGCTACAACCAAAAAGCAGGGCATTAACTACACAGACTATGATTTCTGCTCAGACAAGCTTTGCTGTGACCACCAGACAATGCCTAAAATCCAGGAAGATTCAGCCTTTTCTCCAAGAAAGAGAGATTTACAATAGAAAAGACCATATGTAGAGAGAAAGGAAGGTGCTCATCACAAACTAGCATCAATGTCACATAAACACAGGCCCCCGGGTTGGTTCCTTCTCACCCTGAAGCCTGTGACTCATTTGTAGTCCATATTAAACAGGAAAAGCTGTAGACAATCCTTCCTTTACACAGGTACTTATTCTGGTAGCCCTTGGGGAACAGACCTTGAGCAACCTTCAGGAGACTCTCCTCTTGGATCCTCCTGTGGAATTCCACACCACTCTCTTCCTAATGAACAAAGAGCACGTGCTCTTCCACACAGCCCCAAGATGTGGTGCCTCCTCGTGCTGCTCTGCTCCCAAGGAATTGCCTTTTCAGCAGGATTCACAGCAGCCTCCACTGCAGGTGTTGGCACAAGCCGCTGCAAGAAGAGTCGCAACCCGGAATGTTTCATGAACGTTGTAAGTTGGGTCACCTTCTTTCCTTTTCTAAAGCTTCTCTCCCACTACCACTACCACTGTCTAACAGTGCCTATCAGGAGGCTAAAGTAAGTTCCCTTCAAAGGGGTCCCTCCAGCAGCACAGACCTAGAGGAAATCTTGATGCTCCTATCCAAACAGCCTGAACTAGAGAGAAGAATTTCTTTGCAGTGGAAACAAAGGCTGGCTTCTAGTCTCAAGGCCTGCCCTTCTGTAGCAGCCTCTTTGCCTAGCACAGTGGTAAGGGTGCTTGTACCCCTTCTTCAAACAGCAGATTCTCAAAACAAAAAGCCCTTGCTCTGAATCACCAAAGATTTCCTCACTGTGGCAGCAGTGTAGTAGGTGGTACTGTGAGTCTGAAATAGGAGGTCCACCCTCCACGGCTTGCTTAACCACACTTTGGCAAGAAAGGACTCACTGTGGATCAGATAGCGATTCTGCTGCATGTTTGCTCTCTGAAAAGGTACAACCTTGCTGTGGGGAGAGTGGGAGCTTCAGACAATGTTCATTAGAGAAGCCCTTCTATTGAGTTGTGAGGCGCCGAAGGGACCCCCTTGATTTCTAAACGGAGCTTGGGTGCAGCTGAATCCAGTCTTAGTCACTGACTCTCACTGCTGAAGGCTAAGGAATTATAAAGGTGTGATTAAAACATTCTACAACTTTGTCCTGCAGGACTAACCATGGCAAACCAGATATATTTATATAAAAAAGAATGATTTGTTATAATCAATGATTAGTCAAAAATAACCTAATCAGAATTCTTTACCACACAGTAGAGTAGCTAAAACTACTGGTATAAGATAATAGAGGACAGTGCATTATATCAAAGCAATTGCACTAAAGCTAGCAAAAAGAAACAATTATTAAAGTAGAGATTGATGTAACTCACCCTCACCCACACCAACATCTGTGGGCAAAATCTCTTTTACTCAGCCTTGAGAAGTAACTTTGAGGGGCATCCCAACCCAAAGGAGAAATCTTTATACACAGTCCAAGAAGGGATATATTAGGGGAACTTAACCATATGAAAGTGGACAGGACTTTGAAAGTATAAAGTGATCAACTACCAACAATATGTCTCCAGGTTGGCTTAGCTGTTTATCTTTGCCAGATCTTTGTTTCATTATCAGGATGCTAATAGATCTGTTTTAGCATAATTCAACACCAACAGAAATACATGATGCTCCTTCTCAGCCTACCACTGATAGCTTGCAAAATAGGACATTATTTGAGTAGTTTGACCACATTCCAAGGCAGAATATTATACTACAGACCTGTGTCAGCCTTGCAAAACAGGATAAAGTATCTCCCAAAAGGTTAGTCACTCACCATAACAGGGAATCAAATAGGGAATCAAAATCAAAGCAGGTCTGATGAAGACTTTAATGCATCCTGCTACCCTTAAAAGTCTGTGTAGTGCTTGAGTGCCACAGCTACAGCAATTACTACAATTTGAGTGATATTAAGCATTAAGTAGAATACACAAACCACTTCACAGAAACCCATCCCAACTCCTCTCGCTGCTGTTTGCATCCTCCAGCCTCCATGGCTACAGCATGGCAGCTGTAGGATCATCCACAAAAAAGAGAGACCTGGGGTTTATTTTCCTGCAGGAATCCCTTTTGGTGTCCCTCCCTACCACTACAACACAGTACAGAAAGGCTAGCAATATGCTATCACATTTATCTCCCTGGCATGTTCTTGGCTAGCTTCACATTCCTGGGCAGAAGCAGCCTCCAAACAGTTCTTGCACCAATATCTTCACTGTAAATGCATGATAACAAACTCTCCTTTGGCTTTCCAAAGAGTGAAATTATCAGATACCATGGATTCCCCAGCGAGGAATATGAAGTTCCGACGGAGGATGGATACATTCTTGGTGTTTTCAGAATTCCTTCTGGCAGGAACAGCCAAAATACAGGTATGACATATAGGATATAAGGACAGTCTGATAGCCAACTCTTACACGGATTCTCCATCCTTCCCCTTTGCAAATGCAAAGTTCCATACCTTTCCATCTCAGCAAGGGTACCCAGTCATTCAGCTAGAATGCGGCCTGAATGCTGTATATTGGTTAAAAACGCTCCTGCAAAACCAAATGCTGCACCTCAGATTTAAGTACACATTACCTATTACTATTACAGCTTAAGAAAATCTCTTCTGTTTTAGGGAAGAAGCCTGCAGTCTTGTTACATCATGGTATTTTATCAGATTCTATTCACTGGATTGCCAACCTGCCCAACAACAGCTTGGGCTTCATCCTTGCAGATGCTGGCTATGATGTCTGGTTGGGAAACAGCCGAGGAGACACCTGGTCTTTAAAACATAAGACCCTTAAGCCCTGCCAGAAAGAGTTCTGGCAGTTCAGGTACTCTTTGGAGAAAGAATTTCTGAAGAAAGCAACTATCAGGGAACTAGCAAGATTAGAAAGTTGCTACTAGAATGCAGAACCTTTCCCCTTCTGGCTATATGAAAAAAATTCCCCTCTAAATTACATGAAAACACGACATGTTTTCATATAATCTGACTTCAAATGGGACATGCAACATTTAAGGAGACTAGACAAACTCTTTTCCACAGATGCAGCCTGGGCATATCAGGGAGGTTATAAGAAGGAATTGGCTGCAAGAGCTGGACAGGCTCTTCTGGAATCAGAACACAGAGAAGCAAAGCTGGAAGTACACAGGTCACCTTTGCTGGTTTCTGTGGGAAAAGGCTTCCAAAACTGGGAGGCATCTGTAACCTTGAAGTCTCCCACCAGACACCATGTCCCAGACACAGAAGGACAGGAGAGTGCTCAGCTCAGCCTAGAAATCTGATCTACTACAGCTGATGTTATCTGAGAGAAAATATTTCTTGTAGCCCATGCAGGTGAAAGCACTGATTGAATTCAGTTTCCCAAGGGCTGTAGCTGTCAGGTGAAGCTGGCACCACATCCACACAGAGCCCAAGGCATCAGGCAGCCAGGCTGCACAGCTGCTCCCCTCTGCCACTTCCCAGCTCAAGCCAGCATGCAGACACAGTGTGCAACCTCCTCCTTCAGTGGGTCCTGCTTGCTGCAATGAACAAAAGGGACAGTCAGTAACTCACACTGGGACAGTCACATTGTCCGCCAGCTTTTTGTGTTTCTCCCCACAGCTTCGATGAGATAGGTAAATATGATATCCCAGCAGAGCTGAACTTCATCATGAATAAAACTGGACAGAAGGATGTTTACTATATTGGTCACTCTGAAGGATCAGCTGCAGGTAATGTTAGAACTGTCTGGGTACCAAACGACCAGTGTTAGTGTTTATGGTTTATAGATAGGGTCTGTGAGCAGACTCTGGGGTTTATGTCACAGTGTACCATTGTCCTTTTACAAAAACAAACTCAGAAACAGTGGAGAAAATGGGGGAAAGTGGTATTAAGTAGAAAATTATTTTCCTTTCTTCCCATATGTGTGTTCTAAGAGTCTTTTTACAGAATTAATAGTTCAGAAGAAATCACCACCTTCTTTTTCTTCAGCTAATTATGTCAGCCAGTCAAATCCATCAGTGGAGAAATTTAAACACATTCAGAAAACAGAGACAAACCATTTTTAGCTTCAATGCCTTCCTTATACTTTTCCTTTATGTGTGCATTCACTTTCATGCAAGTATTTGCTTAATTACGAGGGAAAAATTTATTAATATTTAGATAATTTTTGTATTGCTGAATGGCAGCATACACGTGTACAGTCTTGTAGAGACTGCAAGATGAGAAACTTTTTATTTTGAATTTAGGGAACTTTAGAGAGAATTTGAATTTCAAATATCTAATTAATATACCTTTTCAACCAAAACTGGCCTTAACACAAAGTTATCAGTTCTGACAAAAGCAGTATCAGGACATGCTCTACTGAGATTGTATCCTTAGAATGAACTTTATCTTCTAAATAAAAGTTTTAAGCAAGAATCAAACATTCTTTTTAGGTCTGCAGCACAGAAATATAAAACAGCCAATGGGATGCTAACCTAGCCTCACTCATTTGCTGACTACTGCTTTATTATTTATTTGATCTGTGGAGATCTCTTCATCAACTTGACTTCTTTTTCTGAGCTTGCAGGCTACATAGCACTTTCTACTTATCCCGATCTGACTCAGAAGATTAAAGCAATCTTTGCTTTGGCACCAGTGACCACTATCACACATTCTACCAGTCCTCTGGTAATGATTACACGGCTTCCCGAGATACTGATCAGGGTAAGTAATTTTTCCTTCTGAAGAGAAAGACATAATTGTCTGATTTGTCTCTACTGGACTCACTCAACCTGAACTTTTAAGGGGTGATCAGTTAGAAATGAATTCAGTGTATCAGACTTCAAACTTTCCAAGGAGCGAAACTGCAAGGTTTCACATGGTATGGCTTTTGCAATTTCTTTAAGGTAGCAGGCATACTTTTTGACTTATTTAAGTCAAATTATTTCTGAAGAAAACTTTCAAATACCAGAACAAAATAGATCTAATATAGTCTACTAAATCTAGCCTTAAGCACTACTAAAAACCACAAGTAAGATATTTCACATCTTAATTTTATCAGACATGCAGATCATTTATGCTTGTAAAGTATTTACTTGTAAAGTGATAAAGGAAGCTTAAACACCAGAAGGTGTCAACTTAATAGAATTTGCCAGGAATGAGGAAATCATGCATGCTATACTTTATGTCAAACCACAGAAGCACATCCTCTTTCTGTCCAAGCTGCACCCATGATGTGACTATAGAGCATTCAGCTCTACACCCTTCTCATTTGTCTCATTTGTCTGATCCCTCTTTACTTAGGAGTGGTACTCACAGTACAGTTTGCACCTGCCAGGAAAAAGTATTAGGGCAAAAAGGGACTTCCTATATCTGCAGACATCAGTGCAGCCAATTTCCTTTCTCACTGAGATCAGTACACTAAAAACAGATGGACAGTGACCTCCAGCACTCGTCCCCAGGAGAAGGAGGAACAAGTGGTCTGCCCTTGGGAAGAACACTCTATAAAGGATAGTGGGATGGCAAGCAGTGTCAGCAATCTTGCCTCTTGTGAAGAGGAAGGGCTATTAAAGAAGAGAGAGTGACTTAAAGAAGAGGGAGTTTTCTGCATGAAATAATCTTGCAACAACTAAAAAAAGTTTTGCACTTTTCCTCCCCTCAGTTACTACTTGGCTGCAAAGGAGCTCTTCAACAAAATGTGCTGATGGAAGTACTTGCAACACGGTTCTGTGCGTGTCAGGGGAAAGTTTGTGGCAATATCTTCTGCTACCTAGTCGGGGGCATGATACAAAATATGAACACGGTAAGCACCTCCAATAAAAGCTTCATACAAGTAAATCTGAAGAAGCTTTGAAGGGCAACTGGACAAAGATATTTTTCTCTTTTGCACAATTTTTCTTCCTAAACAACAAGACATCTGACTCCTCTGAACATAAGAGACGGTTTCTTTTTGTTTGCTACACATTGAAAGATTTCCAGCCAAAACTCAAAGCTGTTTCTTCACTCTTCTCCCAGCAGAGATTGCATTCCTTTACTCTGGCTGCTACCTCTTGTTCTTACAGGCCTTTCACATGTCTGTTCTCCAGTCACCTTTCATCTCTCAGACTATTTAACAAGTGTACCCATAGAAAGCTCTCACACATGCAGCTTCATTATGCCCAAGAGAACTGTAGAGAACTTTTCTCTACTGATTAAGCACAGCACTATTTAAAAGCATTATACAAATCATACAAACTGGGGAAAAAAAGGCCATACATGCTTCTCAAATTATGTTTTCTCTATGTTGAGAATGTTGAAAAGATTATCCCAGAGATATAAAATCCTATGTAATCATTCCAACTGTAAACTAGTGTATTTGTGAATCTTTCCTCAACTCCCATTTTTATATCTGAAGAATATCCTATAAAATGGGGTATGCAGCAGTATGTTGCTCAGGGTCTTCACAGATTTATTCTTTCACAGCACGGGATCTCTTCTTTCATAACATTTCTGCTTTGTCTCCAGAGTCGAACAGATTCATACAGTGGACACTACCCAGCCGGAACATCAGTACAGAATATTATTCATTGGCAGCAGGTATACTGTGCTGACATATAAACACTCTTATTATGGCTTTTTGTGCAACTGACAACCAACAGGGAAGTCCAAAGCTGACAGATCTGGAAATCTGCCCATCACATCTTCTCACCTGTCACAGAGGGAGCCCTGTTCCCCATGGCCCATCAGATCATTCCCTGAATTTCCCCTTTAGCACCAGGCTTTGAGATTTCCTCAGGGCACATCATGCCTCTCATGGCCTCCAGCCTTTGTCCTTATTTATGGAGATGTGTGCAAAAAGCTGCAGAAGTGAACACAAGCACAACCCAGGCACTTGGCAGGTGGGATAAGTGAGAACTTTACAGTCAGGGATAAACCAGACAAGGAATTGATCTAGGTTAAAGCTTGTCTCCCAGAGGGTTAATTGCAGCCTTGATTACCTCCAAAAGCCAGTTTACTGCACAAATGCTTCTGCTGGCACAATGGCAAAATGGGGAACTGCCTCTTCTGCTGGTACCTTATGCCACTTTCAGACCTAAGATTGTTCTGCCTAAACTCCAAATCACACCAGGGCAAGGTGGCATTGGCTCAGAAACACAGCACTCCATGTGAACAGCAAACTTAAGTGAACTGTATGTGAGCTGTGAACTTAAGTGAACTCTCAGTGAACTGCGCCACTTAAACCAGACCTAAAATACATTTGTGCTGCTGTACATCCCCTGCCTAAACTTCCTGGTATCAGAAACCCAGAACCCAGAGCCAGAAAACAAAAATGAGCTAGCAGATTTCTATCATATCCTCAGTTTCCTAGACATTTAGATAAAAAAAAAAAAAAAAAAAAAAAAAAAAAAACAACAATAAAACAAAACACCCATTATCAGTAAGACAGGTTAATCCTTTATTATTTTGATATTCCTTTCAGACAAACCACAGAAGACAACAGTTTAGTGCTAAGGTAACCACACTCTGCTCCCAATATTCTGCTATGCAGTTCAGAGCCTCTGATATCATTGCCACTCCTGTGAGCAGACCAGACCAGACCAAGCAGGCACACAAAAGTTGAGGATTTTGAGGAGGTGTCCCAGGCTAGTGAGAGCCTTGACATGCTCCTGCACCACAAAGAGCTACGTCAGCTAACTAAAGAGCCAATTAAGATAGGGTAGCAAGGCTCCAATTACTAAACATAAGAAGGGTGGTGGCTGAAGATCAGGAGAAAATGTTAGCAAGGGGAAAGGTGGTGAACCACTCATCCCACAATCCCTCCTCAGTATCCCTGGAATCCTGTCTGCTGCCTGAGACTTGAGTTCACAATCATATGCAAGAAAACAACTCCTGCACTCTGTCTCTTAACATTTTCATTTTATCTGTCCTTGTTACAATATTAACAGATAAAACATGCAGACCAATTTCAAGCTTATGACTACGGCTGTAAGGAAAACATGAAGAAATACAACCAGGTAAGGCAATTCATTTTTCTGAGAACTCATCCTTGGGTCCTGGCAAAACTAAGAATAGAAAAATTCATATATTAGCACCTTGAATGCTACAAAAAGGAGGGTGGTCTTAGGTAAAGCTTCACCTGAACATAATAGTCATAATTGTCAGAGTCTATTCACAAACACGGCAGATTCTTGCAGCCTCCCCTACTGATACAGGGATGTGTCCAACAACGTGTCAGCTTACCTGCCATTCCCAAAAGGCTAAGAGTCACACCCAGGTCCTAGACTGGATGAGTACAGAGCTCTTCCCCAAAAATCCTCAAAGTCTGCATTTCAGTTAAACACTAAAATGGGGATGAAAAGGGAAGGGAAAAAAAAAAAAAAAAAAAAAAAAAAAGTGGAAATGCATACCTTGGTTTTCAGAGGCTACTTGCTGTAAAAAATAAACTTAAGGGATGGTTCAGTATGGCACAGTGAAGACTGCTGGGGAGAACTAAAGTATCCTGTATGGAAAAAAGGAAACAGGCAAAATTTGGTCTGTAGGAGCTTTATTTAATGTGTAGTTAACACCTGAAAATGATCTGCTCCTCTTGCAACATTTATAACTCACCTGATTATTTTTTGAGGTTTGATCAGATCACTTGACTTGTAGTGTGCTTTGTGAGTCAGGGCAGATTATTTTATGGGTGGCACATTATTTTGCAAGTGGGTAAAGATTCCAAGGACACCTTCCTTCTCAGACACCTTTCATACACACATATGGTCTTTAAATACCTGAAGTTTAAACTCTGAAATGGGTAATGTTTTATTCCAAATATTTGGAAGGTTAGGAAATGGCCCAAGAAGCAGTCAGGAAGAAAGATAACTGAACCACCCTTTGATAAGGGCAAGTTTGAAAACATCTTGTGCATAGTCCCTTACCACACCGACAAATAACCATCCTGCATTAAGTCATTTGGTTCAGATCTCATCTCCATTTTAATCTTTTGTGTTTCTTTAACTTCTTCTGTGATGACAAGCAAGGCAGGGAATGGAGTTCACCCAGCATTCAGACAAGCTGCACGGGATGAACCTGACAGCATGACTGCACAAAACATACAATGGAAGAGAGGAAAGAAAACAGAATCACAGCACTGAACTCCTTCCACCCTCAGCACTGGTGCATTCTCCCTGCTGCAGAGTCAGGGCTGATCATGAACTAGAACTAATTCTCCATGAACCAGAGCACATGGCTCTGCCCAGCTGAAGAAAGCAGTGGGGACACGCAGCCCTTTCAGGGAGGTGAAGGAAGGTGGATCTAGCAGTTCCTCAAAATCTGGTTGGGTGGACACTGGTCTGAAATTAACTTTACCCATCCTGGAAGCAGCCTCCAAGGGCTGCCCCAGGATATCAAGTTCAAACTTTTCTAGAGCAGCTTCCCATGCTGTACAAGAAGAACCAGCCACAGACACACCCTGCAAGAGGTTACAGGGAAACATTCAGGTCAGTGACCAACAGTTCTTGGGAAAGGACACCATGTGCGGTGTCTTCAATACTGAACACCTAAATAACTCTAATGTTCAGCCTAAATTCACCCCTGACATAACTGAGTTTTACAAAAGATTGCCAGTTTTTCTAACAGAAGAGAATTTCCAAATACCCATCTCATAGCATCTCCATTTACTAAAGTTTCCTACAAACAAACTTTATCTTCTTATTGCCATCCATCAGAAATGCAGTCCTGGAATGCACAGGGTCTGGACAACAGGAATAGCCATCCTTTACACTTCCCCTTGGAAAACCATTAGCTATCCAGACAAAATCCTTGCAGCACTGAAAGTGTCCTTTCCATGTCTGCTTCAGGATAGGATTAATTCAACAATTCCACTGAAAACCCTCCATGGCATAGACTATAGCCTCTATTTCAAAACTCTCTCAGCCAAATCCAAGATAAAAGGATATGTGTTTGAACATACTGGATTTTTGCTGCTTGCCCAAATTAGTCCCTCCTGTTCTTGAAGTCAGGACCAAGATCTGTTGTTTCACTCCACAGCCACTGGCACCAAGAGTGGTACTTCAAGGCTGGGAAGCCAAGCAGCCAGAACAGCCTCACACACAATGAAAGGAGGGAAGGAAAATTACATTACTGTGTTTGGGGGTGCAGGATGAGCTAAATACAAGTATCTTAGACCATGTCTAGACTTCCACGTTCAGGTTTGGGGTCCAGAAAGGCATCAATATGATCAATACCTGCTGAGCAAGTTCAGCAAAAAGACAACATGAAGGTCATCCAAACTTATCACGGAGTGAGTAACTGCTGCATTGGCTGAACATTCCAGCAGAGATCTAGGCCAGCCCAGAGCAGCGCCTCCTCAGAAACCCAGCGCACCTCCTCTGCTTTAGAGGAAGGCCCTCCTGTCCAGCATGCCTCTTCCCAGGTAGAACAGCCCCACGTTGTTTTCTTCCTTACCCACAGCATCCTCCACAACGTGCCAGCATTTTTTCCCCTCAGTTAGCCCAAATTCAGGAGAGTCCAGGTGAGGTGTGCATACCCCGCCGGTACCCAAGCAGACAAAGACTGACTTAACGATGGCCGGGCTGACACCGGGACCGTGGGGAATGCGGAGGGGACACATCCCAGGTGCGCAGGGACCACGCTGCCCCCAGCGCCCTCTGCCCCCGCCCGCCGCCGCCCACGCACGGCCCCTCCCTTCGCCCTTCGCCCCTCGCAGCTGCGGGGCCAGCGGCGTGCCCGGGAGCGGCGGGGGCAGCGCGGGGGCAGCGGGGCTGGGCGGCGGGCAGCGAGCAGCGAGCCCGGCCGCTGAACCTGCTGACCCCTGCGCCCACGCCGAGAGCAGCGTGGCGGGGAGTCCGGGATGTTGCCGTGTGCCTGAGACAAATCAAACTGATAGCAATATTCTGGCTTTAAATTATTTCCCTATATATGTGAAAGATGTCATCGGAACAGAAAGTGAAAGAATCTAAACCGGTAGAAATTGTGGTTGCTGAGCATCTGTAACTCTCTGATGAGCTTTTTCTCTTCATGTACTTGGTTTCGTACCTGCCTCCTTTTGACCTCTGTAGGATCTCAGGTGTCCTTCTGAAGTGCACTGAGGAATGTATCTCGCTCTTGCACATGCCGCCTGGTTTCAGAAGGATGCAAAAAAGTCTCTTCTGGGGGAATTCCTCTTGGTCTGGAATTATTTGTGTTTAATATGCACATGGTTCTGAAAGCTCTGAGAAGTCATGGGCGGGAAAACCCCCACCTTCTACTGAAAATGGGAAGCAGTGAGAATATGAGATCTTGGAGACCCTGTACTTCCCAGGACATTCATTCCCCAGGTGAAGACCAGCTTTGAGGAAGTTTTGTCCGCACAGAAGTGAGGTTTCTGCTCGTTGCAGGCTTAAGTGGATTACTATCCAAAACTGTAGTTAGCATATATTGATGACTTGCTTTAGACAACCAAGTTGTAGAAAATAGGATATAGACCCAGAACTTCACTGAATATTCCCAGGAGAATGGAGCCCAGGTTTGCTGTTGTGGCAATTGCTGCTCAGGCAATATACTCTGAAACAGATGAGTTTTCTCATGTACTAAATGCATTGCAGCTGGTATATTGCATGTCTGAGTGCTAAATGTTTGGATAACTGAGTCAAAGGCCAGTGTTTACAAGTCTGGAGTTTCATAGATCACAGGATACTGTAGGAATGCAGGAAGCATTCATCCCAAACTCTTTATAATTCTGTAGGTACCAATTTCATAGTTGGGGGTCCTTGTGTGGGGATGTGTGTACAGTATTTTGAATGGCTGTAAGTGCAGGGGAGTATTTTGTAGCATTATGTTTCAAAATTGTTTTGATCAATGCTGCAGTCATTTTTATTACTTGATATTGCTCTGCAGACACTGTGGAGGCATTTCTTGTGTGGTTTTCTTTATGTGCATTAAACATGCTGAAGGTTAGGCCTTAAGGCTTTTCCTGGAAATTAATCACCAAGATCAGGAAGAGTATAGCTCAAGGTGAGAGATGTTGTAAAATCTTCAGCTGCTGAGGGAATGCCAAGGTGACTTGTGCATGAAGGCACTGAAAAATACTGTATAAAACTAAGTTTTTGGTCTCTGTTTGCTGGACATACATGAATAATGTTTTTTCCTGGTTTCATCACTCCTGAAATTTTATTTCTGCACCAAAGGTTGCACATCCAATTTGTGTTCTGAAAATTAGTTTGCTGCCATGTAAAGGAAGTATTTGTGCATACAATTTTAATAAAATTAGGACATTTAGATTGTAATACCTGGAAACATGTTTTCTGGTCATGCTTTCCATTATAAATAGAAGTATCAGTCCATGAAAGAAAATTGTCTTGCTTGTGCAGTTCCTGAACAATTTGTGTGCAGTAGCTGACTACTGGTGTTGCAAAGAAATTCCTATTATAAAAATGCAGCCTTTTCAATCTTGGCCAGCTGCTGATGCCTCTCAGAAGTGCTGTGAGTCAGGCAGCTCCTCAGACACAACCCGCTGCCTACCACTTCCTACAGGCAGCTCTGGATGAGTCACATTCAGCACACAACACAGGGAATTGCGTTATGGAAGCTGTGGGCTCTCCACATAATCAGCGTAGGAAGTATCTTCCTCTTTTAGCATCTCTGAACCGTTAGCATCTCTGAACTGCTGGCAAAAAGCCTTCAGAGACATCTATTGCTCTGTGTTGATATAAAAAGGATCTTGTATAGGCTGCAAAGATCAATGGGGCTCATCCTGAGGGGAAAAGCAAATAATTTGAAAGGCTCCAAGGTAGACTGTGAGCTTCACTGGGATGAAGCTGTTGGCCTGCAGGGGGACAAAATGTTAACCAGAAAACATCGTGCTCAGCTTTGATATTCTGGATAATTCAGCTGACTGTCAAGCAGCCCTGTGAGCTGACTGTGTTACAGCCAGTGCTGCTATAAAACATGTGCTTAACACTGTCAATCTTAGAAACTTAAGTAAGAGAAATTAAATGTTGTAACTGTACAAGTAGAACAGCAGTCTAAAGCTCACAGAATTCTTCTCATAGAACCAGACGTTCCGCTTGTTTTTCCTGGGTTGTTTTTTGTTTGTAGCATGTTACATCCTGAATCATCTAGAATAGGGGAGGTCAAAGATTTCCTTGTGAAATCAACTAGATGTGATATTTTAATGTAAACATTGTACAACAGAAGCATGCCAGATTAAATGGTAGTTGTTCATACTGATCGATCATACTTCATCCTGTAGGTAATCTCACTATCCATTTCTTACCTTTCCTTACTTAAACATTTGTGTACAAAACAGTCAGAATCCTTTGAACTAATGCCTCAAATTATTTTTTCTAGATTTGAGGCCAAAAAACCAAGTTTCATTCTTTATAGGCACTTTAATAGGCTTCAAATAAACTGTGAAATTGTATGTCAGAAATGTCAAATAAATTTGGCTCGTCTTTATTTTGTTCCCTATATTTTGAGCTGCAGAAAGTAAGACAGCATAAGAATTTGTCGTCTGATAGAAACAGAAATTGATTGTTGCGACCAGTCACTCAATCAACAAGTGTCCTTATTAGATGCTATGGAGTCTAAATGTTCTAAATTTAGGTGTTCTAAATTTAGGTAGGATATATTTTCCCAAAAAAAATTTGCATTTTATAGGAAGAACCAGAAGATTCTTAACCCCTCTTGCCCCTGAGAGAAATAGGGATACAGACAGAAAAAATCAGCTTTGCAAGGAATCATGCTCTCTTTGTTTCTTGGAAGTGTAAGAAGTTGCAGGCCTCTGTGCTGATTTTAACCTTTCATTTGTTTCCCTTAGCAACACAGCTTCTCGTCTTCATGGTGGAAGTTAGTTTTATCACTGACATAATGGATGGCAAATATCTCCCTTTTTTTTCAGCATTTCAGTTGAATCATCAAAGAACAAATTGTATAAAACCAGCTCTTTCTTGTACTTCTGTCCTCTTCTGGGTTACTGTGCCCTGGTGTAATTTTCTTGGGGGATTGTTGTGGATTTCCCAAAGGAAGGAAATGGCACTGTTTTTCTACACCGTGTCTAGAACATCCTTTTAGTGGGTCACTGGAAAGATGCTGTTCTGTGTTGCATAAGTAATATTTCTGTGACTGCCTAAGAAAGATTTTGCTTGTAATCCAAGACATTCTACCGTGGTTGATATTTATCCATTATGTTAAAAATGCTTTTTTGATAAAACTGAATGGTGTCATTAAAGAAAGGAGGGAGGAGGAGGGATTGTTTTGTTTTAACACAAGAATCCACAAGAGAAAGAACTGTCAGTTCACAAATGCCCATTTGAATGTTTAATATTTCCAGTTCATTTTTGAGGACAGTCTCTTAAAAGTCTATTATCGTTGTAGACAGAGCTAGTTAATAAATCTGGTAGCAAGCTGCCATCTATGTGTTCAGCTCAAATGCATAGGGTTATGTCGTAGTAGCACAACCATACTAGATGTTGATTTCAAAACAGCCTGCGTAAAAATGAATGAGAAAATAGTTGACAGTAAGAGGTTTCCTCTGTGCTTTGAAGCAAAAGGAGAGAGAAGCCTGTAGGCTCTGCATTTAAATACTCCGTAGGGAGCAGAAGTCAGGTTCTTGCATGTGCCATTTTGGACATTATCTGAATATTGTGGTGGTTTATCAGTCTTAGCAGAACCAGTAGCAATCCAATTTTATTAACGTAGCTTCTTGGTGCAGTAATGTTTGTATCTGTGCCAAGAGGAATGCTGTCCTTAGAAAGCAGGTAGTCAATGATATTCAAGAAGCTACACTAATTGCAGTCGTCGAAATATTTGCAGAACAGCTATAACAGTCTTCAGACAATTTATTCAAACTTTGTTTTGAAGTGGGCAAACAGACCCTTGTGTCACCCATTCGTTTTTTAGATTAAGCTCAGTTTTGTGATGCAAGGTACAGCACTGAGTTGCCTAAACATATAAGCAAGGCTTGGGTTTGGCAGACCTGCGAATGGAGGATCTTCCCTGCCTGTGATTTCTCCCTCTCAGCACCCAAGCAGGTGGAGGTGCTACTGTAATCCTGCACTGACACAGAGGCCTCTGGGCACTGTGCTGGGGCATGGCAGGCACTGGTCCTTCAGTGAGAAAGAGGAAATGTTCTTGACCCATTCTAGAGAGATGGTTGTATAGCTCAGCAGCTGCTTCTGGCAGCTAGTGGAGCTTGGGAGGTGCTCTTGGAACTGCTGTTTGAATGGAGCTGTGGAGCTAAGGAGCACTGTCAAACTGTGAGCTGACATGGGCTTTTCTAGAGCTGGGCTTAGGAGTAGCTGTAAAGAGCAACTTCTCCATTGAAAGGCACAGGGTTTTCAGGAACTGGCTCCTCGCAGTGGTTCCTTTCATTGAAGGGCCATTCTGTTGAGTTTTGTTGATTGGGTATTTCCTCTGCACAAGAGAATCATCTTGCCATGACATTCAGTGCTTTGTTGTTTTTGGGTTTTTTTTTCCAGAAGAGACTACTTACTATACCAGCTGAATCACTTG